CGCTCTATTTCCTCGTTTATCTTCTGTCTGGTTGTTCTATCCATTATTCTGAGTGGGGTATTGGAATCTACAACTATTATTGTAGAACTGTGTATTTTCCCCTTCAATTCTGTCAGTTTTTGTCTCATATATTTTGGTGGTCTGACATTAGGTGCATAAATGCTTATAATCATTATATCTTCTTGCTGTTTTGAAATATTTGTTAACATGTAATGTCCTTCTCTGTCTCTTATAACTGTTTTTGATTTAAAGCCTATTTTGTCTGAAATTAGTATAGCCACTGCCATTCTGTTTTGGTAATTATTTGCATGTAATATCTTTCTCCATCCTTTTACTTTTACAAGTTTGTGTCTTTGGATCTCAAAAGTGAGTCTCTTATACACTGCATATAGTTGGACCATGTGTTTTTATCAATTCTGCCAATCTCTGTCTTTTGATGGGAGAGTTCAATCCACTTACATTTAAAGTAATTACTGATAAGGAGGCACTTATTTCTGTGTTTGTGCTATAGAAACAAATTTTCTATAGACCTATAGCTTTTTGTTCCTCATTCCCTGCATTCCTCTCTTCTTTTGTGTTTAGTTGACTTTTAAGTAGTGAAATGTTTGAATTCCTTCTTGATTCCCTTTTGTATATATTCTATAACAATTTATTTTGTGGTTGCCATGGGGATTACATTTAATGTCCTAATCCTGTAACATTCTAATTTGAATTTATAGCAGTTTAACCTCAACAACATACAAACACTCTGCTCTTTTACACGCTGTCCCCACTGCTTTTGGCTTCTGATATCACAAAATTACATCTTTATATAATGCATGCCCCCAAACATAAACTAATAACTCTTTAAATGCATTAGTCTCCTAAATTACACACAGAACAAGATTTGGAGTTATAAACCAACAGTAATGCTAGCTATTACATTGATTTTTTAATTTAAATATATTGGTCTCTTAAATCATTTAGAAAACAAAAAATGCAGCTACAAACCATTGTTACAATAATACTAGCTATTATAATTGCCCATGTATTTGCCTTTACTGATATCTTTATTTCTCCGTACAGCTTAGGGTTACGGTCTAATGTTCTTCTTTGCAGCACACCCTTGAGCACTTCTTCCAGGGACAGTCTAGTGGTCACAAACTCCCTCAGCTTTTGTTCATCTGGGAATGTCTTGATTTCTCCCTCATTTTTTTAAAATTAATTAATTTATTTTTGGCATTGGCAGGCAGAATCTTAACCACTGCGCTACCAGGGAAGTCCCTCTCCCTCATGTTTGAAGGACAGTTTTGCTGGATACATGAATCTTGGTTGACAGTTTTTTTTTAAAAGCACTTTGAATGTATCTGCCTACTATCTTCTGGCCTCCAAAGTTTCTAATGAGAAATCTGCAGATAATCTCTTTGAGGATCACTTGTGTGTAATGATTTGCTTCTCACTTGCTGCTTTCAAGATATCTTCTTTTTCTTTTTCTTTTAAAAATGTAATGATAATGTGTCTTGTTGTAGGTCTCTTTGAATTCATCTTACTTGGAGTTCATTGAGCTTCTTGAATGATTACATGTATGTCTTTCTTTAGATTCAGGAAGTTTTCAGCCATTATTTCTTCAAATATTCTCTCTGTCTCTTTCTTTTCTCCTTCTGGGACTCCCACATGAGTATCTTGGTCCTTTTGATGATGTCCAGTAGGCTCTATGTGCTTTTCTTCAAACTTTTCTCTTTCTGTTCCTCAGCCTTGATCATTTCCATTGTCCTGTCTTCAAGTTCACTGATTCATTCTTCTGCCTGCCAAGTCTGCCTTTGAATCTTGCTAGTGAATTTTTCATTTCAGTTATTGTACTCTTCAGCTCCAGAATTTTGTTTTGGTTTATTTTTAGGTTTTCTATCTCTTTATTGATATTCCCATTTTGTTCACTCACCATTCTCCTGACTTTCTCCATATCTTCCTTTAGTTCTTTCAAGCATCTTTAGGATTGTTGTTTTAAAGCCTTTTTCTAATATATCTGCCATAGTCTTTTCAGGGACAGATTTTGTTGATAGATTTTTTTCCTTTGAATGGGCTATACTTTCCTGTTTGTTTGTATGCTTTCTGATGTTTTTGTTGAACACCTCTGAATGTAATAATGTGGTAACTCTGGAAATCAGATTTTTCCACCTTACCCAGGGTTTGCTATTGTTATTTTGTGTTTGTTTTTTGGTTTTGATTGTTGTTGGCTGTCTCTGTGCTGAGGATCAGCCTAAGGTGTAAACTTAAGGTCTTCTCTGGTCTTTTCTGAGCATTTTCCTGGGAATGCAAAATCACTTTCTAATTTTCCCCATATATGCAGTTGTTTCTTGGGGTTTTTGTTTTGTTTTGTTTTTTTAGTTATTTATTTTTATTTTTGGCTGTGTTGTGTCTTCATTGCTGTGTGTGGGCTTTCTGTAGTTGTGGCGAGTAGGGGCTACTCTTCATTGCCGGACTGGGGCATCTCATTGCAGTGGCTTCTCATTGCAGTGGCTTCTCTTGTTGTGTAGCAAAGGCTCTAGGAGCATGGGCTTCAGTAGCTGTGGCACGCAGGCTCAGTAGTTGTGGTTCGCAGGCTCTAGAGCACAGGCTCAGTAGTTGTGGCGCATGGGCTTAGTTGCTCCATGGCATGTGGGATCTTCCCAGACCAGGGATTGAACCCGTGTCCTCTGCATTGGAAGGCAGATTCTTAACCACTGCATCACTAGGGAAGCCCCTATGCAGTTGTTTTTGAATGTTCTAGTCTTTAATGTGTGGCTTACAAAAGAGGAATAAGCAAAAAATGATGGAGAGAAGGTGTTGGCCTTTTAATTCCCCTGTAAGTCTCTTCAGCTGGAGGGGGAGGGGCTTGCAACAATGTTTGGAGGTGTGACAACTGCTGCCCCCCTCTTTGTCTTCACTTCTGTGATCAGAAGCAGCAATCAGCAATTAGAGCATAGATACTTAATATTTGGAGGGCAGGGTTTTTTTGCCCACCCTCATTCCCACAAGCTATGTCAGACTGCTCTAAGATCATGTGCACAGCTGCCTGGCACTTGGCTGGGAGTGGGAGATGGGTAGCTGCTACTGTGTTAAGAGCTGAAACTGACCAAAATTAACTGCAATTTACCCTCTAATTCTTCCCCTGGAAGTTGCAAGCCTTCAACAGACTCTAGAGTTCCAGAATAATTACATCAGACAGATTCTGCCAACACAACTGTTGTCCTGGTGCTTCCTGCTGTGCCATCTTCCAGAATTCTCTTTAATGATTTAAAATAAATTTTTTTAAAGAATGAGTTATGAAGTAATTAGAGTCTTCAGACTTGAGATAAGGCAAATACATTCTATAGGATGATTATATAAAGCACAAATCAGGCAAAACTAACCCTACATCTATGCTTTTGGAAGTCTGGAGAGTGGTTACCCCTGGCAGAGGCAAGGTAGGAAGTGATTAGAAGGTGAACTTCTTAGGTGATGTTTTTGTTTGGTTTCTCCTGGATGCTGGTTAACATAGGTCAGTTCATGTTTGTGAAACTTTATCAAGCTATGCACTTACAATATGGGCACTTTTCCATATGTATATTATACTTCAATACAAGTATATATTTTTTAATCTTATAGGTTGAAGAGCTTTTTTTTAATCTTATAGGTTGAAGAGCTTACTTTAAGTCTTAAAAATAAAATATGTACTGAAGAGGAATTCACATACCTCAGGAAGAAATTTTTTAAAAACAATTACACAAGCCTTATTCACTGGAGAGACACACAAAGATAGAATTTGGGGGAAGGGCCAGAAGGTCTCTGAGCCTCAGTTTCCTCAAATGAAACAAAGGACCAATAATAACTATCTTATGAAGCTGTTGTAATAGGGCAACCTAGCTCACAGTTGGCCAGTAAGGTCGTTTCTTTTCCTCAGCCCACTCTCAAATTTTCTTTCCTGGTTTTCTATAGCAATGCCCTCTAATAGAACGTCTTGTGATGGAGCAGATGTTCTACTTCTGCACTGTTAAACATGCAGCCACTCACTGTATGGCTACTGAATACTTGAAATATGGCTAGTGTGAATGAGGAAGTGAACTTTTAATTTTGTTTAATTTTAAAGTGTGTGCCTAGTGGCTAGTGTATTGAGTAGCACAACTCAAGATCTTGAGACACTGAAGGGCTTTGGGCAATTACTGCTTGATCCCAACTTTGCTATGAACCTTGACCAACTGGCCATGAACTCCCATAGTGCCAACCTTCTAGAATTTAAGTTCCATGAAGACCAGGACTTTTGAATTCACTATTGTTTCCTATATTCACAATCCCTACAACAAGGCCAGCACATGGTAAATAGTCAATAAATATTTGTTTGAATGAATAAAATAAAATTGGATTAACCCAAACGTATTTGCATATTTTTGTGGGGTTATTTTTGGATAATGCTATTAATATACAATAGAACACATTCATTGTGAGAAGCACCAAACTAATGAAGGATAGATCCAAAATGAGAAATTAAGATGTCTAGAGTGTGGCCACCACACCTTAAAGATGAAGTCATGAGGGGCAGCTACAGCCCCACCCCACCCCCAAATCCCCAAAGAAAGAAAAACCAGCTTATAAGGACCATGATCAGGAAGACTACAAGTCCCAGTCTCCTAGGGACAGTCCCAATTCATACCTCTTGTCCCAACAAAACATACTGTTCACTCTCAGGTGTGCCCAGTTTAGAAACTAGACAGTTGCCCTCAACACAGCTCAGAATGGCAGGAACAGCAACGTGCTGAAATTGGAGTAATGTGCTCCCGGTAAAACTGTGTGGTAAATACCTTTTTAAAAGTGAATCCTATTTTGAATATATGAGGGAAGCTTAAAAGACCCTTAAATGGGTCTTCTTGTAAAAGGAAAAATAAAAACCTTATGCTTATTTATTTTTGAGGTCCATGATCCACAGCCCAGGGTGGTGCTGGGATCCAGAATCCCAATGGGCCAGAAGAAACAGATCTGCTTCCGAGTGGACACAAGCCCAACTTTACCTGCAATGGCCACAGCTGTTCGTCTCTCAGGTGCTTTTATTTCTGGGGCCACTTCTCCCAAATCTGAGTGTCTGAAACAATTTCAGAAGAAAATTATAATTAAATTAATGAAATACCACTTTCACCTATCAAGTTGGCTGCACATCAAAATCTCTTGAGGAGCCTTTAGAAACTACAAATCCTGCTTACACTCCAGATCCTCGAAACTAGAATCTCAAAGCCAGGCCTGGGCATCTCTGCTTTTCAAAGTGCCCACACTGGTCTAGAAAAACCAGCACTCTAAAAAACTGTGAGACAGAGCAAACAGCCATTCAGAAAAACATAAAACTATACATATCCTTTGACCAGTAATTCCACTTCTACCCTAAGGAAATAATTAAAATTTAGTTACAAATATGTTGATGACAACTTTATATATAATAGTGAAAAACTGGACGCTTTTTTTTTTTTTGCCGTGTTGGGTCTTCATTGCTGTGCACGGGCTTTCTCCAGTTGCAGCGAGCGGGGGCTACTCTTCGTTGCAGTGCGCGGGCTTCTCATTGCAGTGGCTTCTCTTGTTGCGGAGCATGGGCTCTAGGCGCGTGGGCTTCAATAGTTGTGGCACATGAGCTCAGTAGTTATGGCTTGCAGGCTCTAGAGCTCAGGCTCAGGAGTTGTGGCGCACGGGCTTAGCTGCTTCGTGGCAATGTGAGATCTTCCCGGACCAGGGCTTGAACCCGTGTCCCCTGCATTGGCAGGCAGGTTCTTAACCACTGCGCCACCAGGGAAGTCCCCTAGATGCCTTTTAAATCAGAGTACAATAATAGGAATTATGGTACAGTCTTATTCTACAATCATTAAAAAATATTCTATGGATCTCATTTTGTGGACAAAAAGATGTTGTATGATATGTTATGGAATGATGTTAATGATATGTTCATTAGTGGGGGGAAAGTCAGGTTATAGAAGAGTATGTACAGTGTGATTACTATTTAATAAAACTATGTCTATTTATCTATAGGTGTATAGAGGGAGATCTAGAAGGATGTTCATCAAAAGTTAATAGCGTGGGCAGAGGAAAAAAAAAAGGTATTATAATTTCTGGGCTTCCCTGGTGGCACAGTGGTTGAGAGTCCGCCTGCCGATGTGGGGAACACGGGTTCGTGCCCCGGTCCGGGAAGATCCCACATGCCGCGGAGCGGCTGGGCCCGGGAGCCGTGGCCGCTGAGCCTGCGCGTCCGGAGCCTGTGCTCCGCAACGGGAGAGGCCACGGCAGTGAGAGGCCCGCGTACCGCAAAACAAACAAAAAAAAACAACAACAAAATTAAGTCAGGATCATTTCTCCCTGCCCACACTATTTTCTTTCTTTTTTTTGCGGTACGAGGGCCTCTCACTGCCGTGGCCTCTCCCGTTGCGGAGCACAGGCTCCGGACGCGCAGGCTCAGCGGCCACGGCTCCCGGGCCCAGCCGCTCCGCGGCATGTGGGATCTTCCCGGACCGGGGCACGAACCCGTGTTCCCCACATCGGCAGGCGGACTCTCAACAACTGCGCCACCAGGGATGCCCCCTGAATTAATTTAAGTAGGCTAGATAAGTACAGTCTATTTAAGAATAAACTATTTTAGGTATATCATAGGAATGAGTAAATGTGTTGATTTCATCAGAAGTCAGGGTTCCATTGTTGAAGAAAGGGTGTACAAATAAGGAATGGAGTTAGTTAGAAAAAGAATTCACAGAGGTACACTGGAACTGGAGGTACTGGTGTGTACTCGTGATTTCTATATGCATGCTCGTTGTATACATGTGTATCCATTTGTGTAAACGTGCATACATTTCCTAGCCCTGTCCACTGAAAGGGCCACGAAGCAAAAACACTATAGTACTAGTGAGCATACCAAGCACCCTTTAATATCATTCCATACTAACAGATACCAGGTCTTCTTGGAGAAATTACAGATTCCAGGGCTGGAGCAGCAAAAGAACAAGATGAGCCTGAGCATCTTATTTCAGAAAACTAGGAAGTGCTCAAAAAAAGAAAATGCCGGGGCATGTCACAGGACACAGGAGCCAGCTTGAAGGGGCTCCCACTACCAAGTGTGAGTCAATTTGGGCATGAATATAATTAAATACAGTAATCAATTTAACACCATTGAAAAACAGGTATTAATGAGCCCGTATACATAACAAATAGATAAACAAACGGGGGGGGGGCGGAATGAGGGCTCTTGTTTATAAGAGAATGCTAATGTGAAGGGTGCTACAGCTGGCACAGCATCACTTTCAGAATCATCCTAATCAAGAATGGTTCAAGCTAGCAACACCAATGAATGCCAATTCTTGCAGGAAAATGTTGACAAGGAGCAAGATACTTGCCCAGGCTCAAAATGTTTCCTCACAGATTGCTTATTAGGTGCTAGGAGAAAAATAAAACCTAGCAGTTATACTTGGCTGGGTAATCAAAGCCAGTGACCATGGGGACAGATGGCTATGTGTGCCCCCAGCTGTGGTACCCTGAGGAAGGACACATCATCACCTATACAGCATTCTGGCTGAGAATGTAGAACCCTGATCTCATCATAAGGACAAACCCAAAATGAAATGTTATGCTAGAGGGGGAGAACAATATTATCTCAAAGTATGAATGTCACAAAAGAAAAAAGATCGAGGAAATGTTCCAGATTAAGGGTGCTAAAGAGACAAGAAAAAATGCAATACCTAACCCTAGACTAGATCCTGGACTAGAAGGAGACATTTTGGGGTCTACTGACTAAATTGAAATATAGGTGCTGTCAATGTCACGTTTACTGATGTTGATAACTGTACTGTGGTTATGTGAGAGAATATCTCTGTTCTTAGGAAATAAGACACTGAAGGATTTAGGGATAAAGGGTGATGATATATGCAAGTTACTCTCTAATGGTTAAGAACAAAATTATATATGTGTGTATTTATGTGTGTGTGTGTATACACATGCATAGGCATAGAGAGAGACAGCAAGAGAGAAAGAATGATAAATGAGAATGGTAAATGAGCTAAAATGTTAAGAATAGGAGATTCTGTATAAGGGGCCTTTTTAATTTTGTAATTTATCTCTAAGTAGAAATTATGTCCAAATAAAATGTTTTAAAATTAATAGTGGTTAGTTATTTCTGGGTAGTATGATATCCGTTTATTTTGTCTTATTTGAATTTTTTAAATAGAAGAGGCATGTATTGATTTAATAAAACTAAATGAGCCATTAAAGTAATGCTGTTAGTCTGGGTCAGGGCCAGAATCAGATATGTGTGTGCCCCAAGAAAACTTGGTAATCTGGCACCCCTTCAAACCAATGTTCTTCCAAGAGTGTACAGGTTTAAACTTTAGTTTGTGGCAGGTCCCCTCAGAGACAAGCAGTCCAGTTCCATTTAATTCATCAGCAAAAGAACTGTATTGTGTTAATCAAATCCACCCTCCTAGAGGAAAGAAGGATTTCAGGACGCTTGGTTGTTATTCCAGCATGTTCCCGGAAGGTCTCATCCTCAGCCCTCTCTGAAGGGAGCTCCAGTAACCTCAGTGGTCACTGTGTTCATGGCTGTTTTAGCCACTTTATCAGTGCAGAGTACTAGGCAACTCTCTGACTTAATTTGACCCTGATGCTGATAAAAATGGGACTTTTCATTGTCTTCTCTTCATTTTTCTGCAAAGAACATATATTGCTTTTGTAATAAGAAAAAAAGGTAACTTTAAAAAAAGAAAAAATGACTGGTTAAAAATAGTTTCCCAGTGGGGAAGAAGCAGGCCCGGCCTGGTGGTGGCATGGAGCCCTGTGCTGAGACCCAGGTAAGACAAGGGCAGAGGACAGGTAGTTACACCCAGGGCGTTGCCCGGCCTCTTCCCACTGCACACAGGCTCTCAGGACACACTCGCCAGAATTTCCCAGGAGAGGAGCTTAACTCCAACCCTATATTTTCCATGCAAGAAAGTAGAAAACAAGAGTGAAATTATCACAGGGACAACCCTGAGTTTGTGCTAATTTCTGAAAATATACATATAAATCTGTTCTTGATTCTTGCCAACAAAGTTCACACCTATTTGAGTCTCTGTGTTGTAAACTGGAAGCAGAGCCAAGTCTTGCAAGAGTGAACAGCAATAGAATGTCACCTTTGTGCAATGCTTTTTAATTTACAACTCTGCTTTCAATACCTGTATGGCCTGAATTGTGTCCCCTCAAATTCCTATGTTGAAACCCTTTTGCATATATGGCCTTTAAGGGAGTAATTAAGGTTGAATGAGGTCACAAAGGTAAGGCCCTGATCTGATGCGATTGGTGTCCTATGAGAGGAGGAGACCCCCAAGAGCTTGCTCTCTCTCTGCAGGTGCACAGAAAAAGGCCAGGTGAGGACACAGTGAGACAGTGGCCATCTACAAGCCAGGAAGAGACACCTCAGGAGAAACTGAATCTGCCTGCACTGTGATCTGGGACTCCCAACCTCCAGAACTGCAAGAAACAAATGTTAAGTTACCCAGTCTGTGGTCCTTTGTTATGGCAGCCTAAGCGGCCCAGCATCACCAAGCTAGGAAGCACAGGGCCAGAACCCGAACATGAATCTTCTGGTTCCCTTTTGGCTCATTATTTGTAAGGCTCAGATAGGTTTTAGGTAACTTATAATTATAGCTGGTAATTACAAACACCATAAAAAACAGCCCATCTGCCAACTCCAAGTCTTGCCAAGCCTGCTCTTGCCTCTACAGGCAGACAAGACCAAGGGAGTGAAAACAAGCAGTGCTTCCAATGGGCCCAGACGTGAGCAGAGCGGCCTTCTACAAAGCAGTTTTTGAAAACTGCGAATGTCTTTTTCCGATTCCAAAGATAAGACAAATATACAGAAAAGTACCAAGAAAATGCCTTTGCTCTTTTGAACAATTACTCAATATGTTAACCAATCCTCCCCCACCCCGCCTCCTACTTCTGACCTATTCATGTTGCTGTAGCTCATTGTGTTAATCGATATATAGGGCTACTTTCTCTGCGCCCCGTTTTACTTCCTCATTAAGGGCTATTTAGATTTTGGTCTTCTCCTGAGGCCCATGTTGGTCCTTTCAAGA